GACTGTAGAAAGAACTTGAAGTTTTTAGAAGAAACTGAAGTCCAGCACCTCTCTTGTCGTCTTCGACCACCACCGACCGCCTTCGACAACCACTGGCCGCTGTCGAGCACTTCTGTCGCCATCAACCACCGCCGACCGTCGTCAATTACTATTAATCGACATCGATCTGAAGCGTGTGACAAGTAGTTGCAACAGTAATCATATTTTTTATAGTGGAACTCATCAGCCAGGTGGTTTTTCTATCTTCTGATTTTTCTCATAAAAATTTCTGTTGTCATTACTATTTGTTTTCTCTCTTCTGAGTGTGTTATGAATATCCGTACCACACCCAAACGATAATATGTTACTCTACTGCTCAAATTTCATTGTACACATCAATTATTATAATTATTATTATAAATAAGTTAGGGGTTGGTATATTTATAGCTAAGGAATCACATTCATGGCTTTGCGTAGATTATAGTTCAAGCGACCCTTTTATTAAAACCTAAATACTTATTCGTTAGTCTATCAGTCTATTGTGCAATCATTCACTCAGCACCTAATCCCACATTATTATTATAATAACAATTATTATTATCAACTGCTCGGCTAAGTTAAATTGACATTTAAAAAATCACTTCATGATTTTGATTTAACTTTACCCAATTTTAATGTTTTACTCAGACATGTTCGAGCGCCCGCAGCCTATCACATTTCTTTGGCTCATTAGCTCCCGACAAGCACCCTTTTCGGGTCTGTTTGGGGCAACTGCAACTTATTAAAAAGTTACGATTAAGCTGCTAAATAATAATTTGATGCTAAAAAGCTGCAATAACTATTATTATTATTTTTTTTTAAAAAAAGTTAGATCACAACTATAAAGTTTCCACCGTACCTAAATAAGGAGTGGTGTGAAAACGCAGATTTCAACGGCAGTTTTTTTCTTAATACATTTTACCCGAACATTTTTTCTTAATACCAGCATTTAATGTGTTGGTGAACCGCTACCTCAACGCCGCCCCAAACGAACTGGAAGTCTGCTTGCGACGACCGCTAGGCTGCTTCGAAAAGCCTTTCGGCCGGCCCCACCTTTTTATTTAGGGAGTCAGAAGCATACTTTTTCTTATGTGCAATTAAATTTATTACCAAAACCTTATTACTAATTCAAACGTGTCATAAATGAAAATTTATTTTAAAATGCAGATATTTTTTTAATTATACGAGATATATATGGAAAACACTGACAATTATTTCTAGTAGACAGATATTATTTAAAAAATATAATAATAATAATTTTGTTGTTTAAAAATAAGGAAAATTTGCGTACACACCACTGAATAGGGGTGTAAACGAGCCGAACACGAGCGAGCCATGCTCAGCTGGTGTTCGGCTCGTTTATATTTCGAGCTCAAAA